TCAACGGATCCAGAACTGAATTCTTTAAAACAAAATGGCCGCCAGTCGGCCATTTCGAACCCGATCCAAAAAAAAAATGACGTGCATCAAGGTCCTATTATGTTTAATGTATGTACCAAATTTGAACAAAATCCGTCCATGCATAACTGAGATCCGGGTCCGGAATGGTGAAAATGTGCGATTTTGATGCATTTTCGGCCTTAAAATGGCCGCTATTCGGCTATCGTTAATCGGATCATGAAAAAAATGCATGTGCATATGTCCCATATAATGTGTGATGTATGAGTGAAGTTTGAACTTAATCGGTCCATGCATGTTCGAGATACAGGTGATCACGGACGCACGGATACAGGGCAAAACATAAGTCCCCGTTTTCGGACTGCATCCGAACGGGGACTAATCAGTCAAAGCATTTAAGAGATATGGCTCTAGAAGCCCAATCATTAAAACAAAATGGTGCCAGTCAGCCATTTTGAATCCAATCTGAAAAATAAAATGACGTGCATCAGGAACCCGTAATGTCTAATGTATGTACCAAGTCTGAACTGAATCCACCCATAAATGCTTGATATTTGATGATTTTTTAGCACAAAAATGACCACCATTCGGCCATTTTGGATAGGATAGTCAAACCAATATAACTGTTTATCTATGACATGATGTATAATGAATATTTTAAATTTGAAAATATTATCAGTCAAAACAAGTCGGAGATATGGGTCTAGAAGCCCATTCATTAAAACAAAATGGCCGCCAGACAGCCATTTTGAATCCGATCTGAAAAATAAATGATGTGCATCAGGAACTTGTAATGTCTAATATATGTACGAAGTTTGAACGAAATCCATCCATAAATGCCAGAAATGCTTGATATTTGATGATTGTGGTGGCCATTTTGAATAGAATCGTCAAACCAATATACAAATGTATCTGTCTATCTATTACATGATGTATAATGAATATTTAAAATTTGAACATAATCAGCGAAAGCAAGTCAGAGATATGGCACCTTCATTAATACAAAATAGCCGCCAGTCGGCCATTTTGAATCTTATCTTAACAAAATTATTTGCATCAAGGTCCCATAATGTCTAATGTATATATACCAAGTTTGAACAAAATCCATCTGTAAACAGCTGAGAAATGCTTGATTTTTAGGATTTTTTGTGATTGGTCCAGGCATCTCTAAGATACAGGACGCGCGCACGGACACACGCACGCACGGATACACGGAGGTCAAAACATCAGTCCCCGTATTCAAACTGCGTTCGAACAGGGACTAATTAAAATGTCAGGGGTTAAACGGCGTAAAATGATTTCCGGTCTTGACAAACTTCAACTTTCATACAAGATCAATAATAATTTACAAATTTACACTGTAAAAATTATACAAATTCATAGCTGTTTGAAAAAACATCTCGGATCTTTATTTGTACGTTCATTGCCAACTTCGTCAAACTCAAAACCCTCAAAGTCCAAGTAGGCATCACTGTAGGCGTCGAACAAAATCCCTACAACTTCTTCCTGAAGTTCGTCGATATCGTCCCACACAATTTGGACTTAGCACTTTTAATCTACAGATTTCGCAGTCTGTCAGCTTGGCACTTTTCATTCATGTCTAATCACAATAAAGAGACAAGAAAATGGGGGCGCTCTGCTGCGATGGCACACGATGCTTTTGTTTACAGTCTAGCAATCATCTTTGACCTTTATGCATTTGCTTTACGGATTGGATAAGAATGACATCACTACTAGTATTTCATCATAAAGGTCAAATCGTGACATTGCTTTCTCGACTTGACGCTTATCAATCACGGTGAAAGTTATCATTCAGCAAGTTCCGGCGGTTGGAATGTCTCACTATATGGATATCGCGGTGGACTTGAAACAGGAAGTTTTTATTTATCCAACAACAGAAGAATAGTTTTCATGACAGAAATGCAATAGCGGTGATGAAAGATGGTAAAAAAGTTGGCAGTCTTCGGCATGACACTGCAAAATTGCTGGCTCGTTATGGATTCGCAAGCCGCTACCAAATATTTTATAAAGCCAAAATAACGTAATTTCAACCACTCTCCCAGGTACGGGTTGCTACAATATTGCAACATTGGTTTCATTGTCGACGACGCTAAAGCCAAACGAGTGCGACACTTGCTTAGCGGCTCTCCTTATACGATTTGCTTGAATCGTTTCTAAGGAAGCACAAACCAAAAGGCTGGCCCTTTTTAGGGCCACGACATATTTCAAAAAGAGAACTACCGTTTCTGCTTTAATATATATTTTTATAGACTTGCTGACTGTAATGATTCTGAAAAAAAACACAGCAGTGAACGTACTGCCCTGAAGGGAGAAAGCTGTCACAGCTATTTCGCGTTCACCCCTTGTTTTACGCAATTAACAATTATATTTAAAGAATTTTTATAAGCATCACGACAGACTTCAAGAAAGTAAACTGTTAATACAACCACAGTCAATGAATAGAAATTAGTTTTTTTCTTCTATTTTTTGTATAGAAAAAGACCCCTTGGGCGTGTGCCCGAATATGACCTCAACTTCTTTATTGTGTCAAAAGTGGAGGATGGGCTCTTACCCGGATAAGTATGGTAGTTGAAACAAATTCCTGTGAATTTTCATTTGTCGAATGAACTGTTTGTCAAATACAGAATACATATTTTTGAGTACAATTTTCTTTTCAAAATGTGGATGTAACATTTTGTTTTTTTGAGTATTTTTTATGTATTGTTTTTCATTTGATAACTTTGGACTAAACAGATTTTCTATTGGCTTCAAATCTTGATCAAAAGTTTAGCACCCAATTCATAGGAGTGCTTATATTGATTTTCTGACATCTTGTTTTCTGTAAAGATTTTATTGGTAGGTTTGCAAAGGTGTATCAGACTGTGCAACAACTCTCTCTATGAGTTGGTTTTGAAACCTAGTCAAGTATTCCCATGGGATCTGGGAGATACATTACCAACGAAAGTATTACAAGATAAATGATTTGCTTCATTGAACACATACAACAATGCATATTTCCACCGAGATCAGTGACCTTTGAATGTGTATCACCAGTGATCAGTCAAATAGAAACAGTCAGATTTTTCTCAATGTTTGCATATTTTCATACAGGACATCTGTTGTTCATACTAAGGGAAGACTTTATACTGATGAATAAGGTTTGGAATAAAGTTTGGAATAGAATTAGTAAAGTTACTGTGCACACAATAACAATTATTAGCGTCGGACAACGCCGGACAGAAATATTTCCTTTAATATACCTTTCCCTTCCACCTTCCATCTACAGACAAGGTAAAAATACAAACCTGTCTGAAAAATCTGATTCAATGAATTCATGGGTTCTTTTTCTTGAACCTGACCATGTCGGTGACTCCACAAGACCTATCGGTACATGGAAAACTTGACGATGTGGTGTTTTGGGACTGTTTGTTAAGATTGGTGTAGACTGCGTCCTCTGTGGTGTACCTAATATCTGAAAAGTATACAAGTAATAAGAGTTAGTCACCGATATCACATATCATTCAGTTTAATTTTGTTACATGCATATCTTTGGGTAAAAAACAGCTGTCATTGATTAAACCCTCTACCCTCCCCCTTCCCTTAAAATATCATTGTATCAATCAAGTCAATTTTCCTCAATGCCATTGAACTGTGTTAGAAGCAATACACACTAAATTTTTCTTCAATTACACCCTAGTATTCTCAAAATCCTTCTTTACATGGCTTGCTCAATATGTGTTTAATAATATCAATGGTGAGTGTACATTTGACATTGGAAGATCAACCCTTAAATACTGCAGCAAGCAGGTCAATGGTCAATCTTTGAACTGTTATATACAGTAGTCATTCGCCAATACTTGTTGCAATTTTCAACAACGCTCAAAACTGTAATTAAACTTACCACAGGTGAAACAGGAGTGTTTGGTTGCTGGGCAACTTGTAGTGCTTTGATATGAGGTTCTGTTTTTATAGGCGATTTTGGTGATAATGAAATTCCAGCAACTGTCGGAACAAGCCCTACTAAGAATAGAAGTGAATACTTACAGGAAGCATAAGATATTTTTTTAAAATTAACATAAAAATTCAGACGACAACTGCAATGCCACAAAATAGTGATTACCTATGGAGTAACAATTTAGTAGTTAGTAGCAAACACATTTTGATATGACAACTGCAATTGCACGAACAGCCATCAGGACTTTTAAGGTAGAGATGCAGTTTATTTAGCTTGCTTTTTAATTGAGTAATTAGACAATGAAGATGGTATTATATATCCAACATGTTATATATTTTCTGAAAGCTTAATATACAAACTTTGTAAAACTTGTCTTTATTTTAAATATCCAGAATGCGTTTTTGATTTTGGGTCAAAAATATGCTTTTTTGGACAAAAGTGGTTTAAAAAAAATTAGCTTAAAAACTTCAAGTCCGTTTGTGGGTAAAATTACATCACTGGATAGCTTGGTATACTACTAATTCAAATG